ATTTAATGTGCTAGGTTTTAGAATTTTGAGTAATCCAGCATCTGGAAAGTGTTTGGATTAAGGTTATTTGATGCGTTAGGGGTAGGAGAAGGCAGACCAGCCATTGAAATAGGCTGGTCGCCGGCCGGCATGGCCATGGGAGCTCTCACGCGATGAATCGCCTTAGAATCACGCTTCCTGTCGCCAGAGCTTTTCTCTCCTTCGCGTTTTACCCAATTGCGAACATGGAGTATATATCAAGCTATCAGAGCCACAAGAATAATTATCCAACTCATTCTTTCATCTCAAGTTATTATTCATTATCTTTTTCAAGCTTAACAACCACTATTAATGATCTAGAGTTGGCATGGGCGGATCTAGTATTATGTTTTTGGGTTCAGCAGAACCCAATAGTTATCCAAATTCTATATATATTTATATTTAAAAAATTCACTTAATATATTATCAAAATTCAATAAGCTATCTTTTATAAAATTCAGAATTCACAAGACTCAAAATCCTAGCTAGCATGAAGAGCTTTATTTTGAGATCTTATTCATAACCGAATTTAGTATAAATTGAAGTTTTTAATAGTTTGAAGTTAAGTCTTGTGTTTACTTGTTTGAATCTCTAGCCTCTTGCGTAGCTTCCAACTAGTCTTGGTCTTAAGGTTTAATTAAACTCTAAATCACTCCTAAAACACTAAGCGGTCGTTTGGTAGGAGGTATTAAAAAAATAATATAAGTATTAGATTTGTGCATTACTAATTTCTTATTTGGTATATTTTTTCAACCTATGTATAACTAATACTTGTATAACAACCTAGTTATACATCCTCTTTGGTATTATTCTATGTATAACTAATACATAGCAAATCATGATAGTAGCAATGCAAGGATTTTTAATACTTATACAAGCATGATTAAGGACATAATTGCCCCTCAAATCCCTCAAAGTGTACAAAGTTGAAGAATGTGAAGGGTAATTTTGTAAACAACTAATTCTTTTAGAAATTGTGCAATGTTTTAATACATAAAATCAAACCGTGAATAAGAAATAATCTCAGCATAACTAATTCCAGCATTACTAATACCAACATTGTTAGTACACCATATTTAACATTATTCTTATACTTCCTACCAAACAACCTCTAAGTACACTTAATGTCATGTTCAAGTAATATAATCCATATCCATGCCGACATTGGCTCCCAAAATGATATATTTAATATCCTTAGCGCACTTTAAAGTTTTAAAATCTTATGAGATTTTTAGGTTCGCTACATCAACCTCTTGTTTTCAGTCTATTCCATTCATCTATTACTCGCTCACTAAAAAACGCATTGCAACAAACCAATGGAGCCTTACCTTTATAAAAATAGAGGTAAAATTTACCAACAAGTACCAACATACACATCTAACCTTGCCGGAGCAAGTGACATTGACTTTTCAGCATCCTTTTCCGATGGGACATGGCAACGAAAGAAGTAATGTGGAAGAATGTGAAAGAGAGACGGATGAATCTGAGAGATGGAAAAAAATGGGAAGATTGGGAGGGATAAATTTTATCAACATGAGAGCCTAAAATCATAGAATACAATAGTTGGCTAAATTATATGATATAAAAATATTATTAAATTAAGTAATTGTTTGAAAGTTTCTAAAAAAATATAATTAATGCTCCTAAATTATCGTGAAAATAGTACGGGCTAGCCAGTTTTCGGACTGGTAATTGAAAAATTGCCAGCATTTGCAAAGTCATTGAAAAAGAGCCATTATTTTGCTGCAACACGAAAAGTTCCAGCATAATATACTGGAGATCGGTGCACCTGTGTATGAACTTCCAGCATATTATGCTGTAACTTCAGCACACAGAAAGTTTCAGCATAATATACTAGAGATTGGAGCACCTGTGTATGAACTTCCAGCATATTATGCTGTAACTTCAGCACACAGAAAGTTTCAGCATAATATACTAGAGATTGGAGCACCTGTGTATGAACTTCCAGCATATTATGCTGGAACTCCAGCACACAAAATGTTTCAGCATAATATATTGGAGATTGAAGCACCTGTGTATGAATTTCCAATATATTATACTGGGACTCCAGTATATTATGCTGGAAGTTCACATGTAAATAAATCGAACTCCAGTATATTATGCTGGAATATTATTCGAATTTTGAATAGTATTTTCGTTTAAATTTATTTTTATATAAAAAATAGCTAAATTTCAATTAAAACTTGTAAATCTGGATATTTTTGGACTTTAATAGGCGGGGGTGGGCATTGTTCCGTTAAAACCGAATTAAAATAGAAATTAAAATATAAAAAGCAAATGTTGACTCCAGTCCAGTTTGCTCAAATAGAACCTCGGCTTTTTCAAAGGGTCCTGAATAATAGAAATTAAAATATGAAAAGCTATAAATAGCTCTCAATTCCTAAACCCCTCGCCGTCCACTGCCGCCTCTCACCGTCGCCGCCTCTCCCCATCTCCGCCTCTTGCCGTTACTGTTTCCGCCTCTCGCCGTCGCCTCCTCTCGTGCGCGTCAGCAGTGAATCAGGTTCATTTGCTCTCTGTATGATTATGTGTGGTTTCTTCAATTAAGAAAAGTCCTCACCACTTTAAAATTGATGGTAATTGCAGTTGGTTTTGGGTATTGAAACTTACAGTAATTTCAACAAAAGGCAAAATTAAGTCAGTTAGAATAATCTAAGACACAACCTGCTGGGAATTAAGGTAAACAAGAAATGAATTCTATTTTTATCAACATAAACTAAAAGGACAGACCCAATTTCTTACTGGAAGTCAAGCTAATTGTCAAGTAAGGCAAATTTTAAGCAAGTGATGGTCCAAATCCCCAACCTAGAAACGAACTATGCTGTGAAATACAAAAATGAACAATAAAGTAAGAAGCCTAGCTTTTGTCGGCGTTTTTTCTTGAAATACACAAAATATAACCAGCCAAGTATATGTTCAGACGAGTTGCTAAGGAATAAGGCACTAACAGGAGATTCCAAGAATTACCTAGTACTTTGTTTAGTATCAGTAAAACAAAGAATTTGATTTTTAAAAAGTTACAGGTAGAAATAGAAGGAACCAGAGGCGGAGGTAGTTCTTTACTTACAGTTTCATTCAAATCCAATCACTTTAGCTCAGACCTCGTATATATACATTAAAAAATTCACTAATAAAGAAATAGATTTCTAACCAGAAAATCAAATGGGTTGGGGATAGAATTCTGAGCTCGAACCCATAATGTTCAAATCCTGGATCTGTCTCGGGAAGGAACTATGCTTTTCATGCTCATCCCACACCATTTAACCAACCACTTCTAGTAGTAAAAACTTAGTTTCAGTCAAGTTGGGCTAGAATCAAAATCTGGGAAAAAAGGGTTGGAGGTTTGAAAGATCCGGAGTATTTTAATGGAACCTAACTTTACGAATGGAACAACTAATTTTAATTTGGTTTTAATGTGCAGTCTTACAAAAATCGAAAACCGACAAACCCATCCGAGTTTTTTAAAAACAGAACTGAACCGACCGATGCGCACTCCTAAAATCACCTATATTAAGGAATCTCCTCCAGGCTATCTTTTTCTTTTTAATTTTAAGTTACATAACTAGAGTTTGACTGCTAGTAGACCTATGTCAGTTGTGATAACCTAATAAAAATAAACCAAAACCTATGGAAAAGAGAGAAAGAAGCCCAAAAGGGGGGGGG